AAGAAGGTTCAGTGTGGAACTAAACTCAGGACCTTCTTGCTGTGAGGCCAGGGCCTTTCTCTGTGGAGTTTGCATGTTCTCCCTGTGTTTGTATGGTTCTCTCTGGGTACTCTGGCTTCCTCACACCGTCCAAAGACCTGCAGTTAGTGGGGTTAGGTGAATTGGTAATTCTATAATGCCCATAGGTGTGAATTGGAGTATGAATGGTTGTCTGTCTCTATGCATTAGTACACCCTGGACAGGTCCAGGGGTACCCCGACCCTCTGCCCTAAGACAGCTAGGATAGGCTCCAGCCACACCGTGACTCAGAATTGGATAAGTGGAAGAAAATGGATGGATAATAAATCCAGGTTACACGAGGAACTGTTCAAGAGTTCAAGAGCTCACAAAATTATTTTTCACTCTTACTGACTCATCCTGATAAAATAATGGCTAATAAATTCAAGCATTAATACATGGAGCTTTGTGAAAAGAATAATATATTTTGGATAGTTTGTGGCTTTGGGAAGCCATAAACTGAATTTAAACAGTGAGATTCAATGAGGTGAGATTGTAGTGAGGGTGAATGGCACTAACCTCTCTCATGTGAAGAGATGTGAGAAACAGTCTTAACTCCACCCACTTAAGTCTTCCTGGTTAAACTTTTATCTGTTAGAGTCAGGGCTGAAAACATGTTCATTTTTTTGTTTTTCTTTTTTTTTGTCATCAGGTGAGGGGCGAAGGCCAGGTGGAGGAGCAGTCAGAGTATGAGCACTGTCGGAAACTTGTCAGCTTCACCCTGTCAGGTGAGATGAATGAGTCAGTGGAAATGTGCTGGAGAATGAATACAAAAATACTCATGAAGTATTCCAATTCAGACTTCCGAGCAGTGAACCTAAAGAAAGGGATGTTCTTCAACCCGGACCCCTACCTGAAAATGTCGATCCAGCCCGGGAAGAGGAGCGGCCTCCCAAAGTTTACCCACCATGGCCAGGAGAGACGCTCCTCCATCATATCCAACACCATCAACCCTGTGTGGCTTGGGGAGGTTAGCATAACTTCACACTGACTCAATAAGATTACCTTACCCAGCAGGCACTACAGAGCTTGGATGGAGCCGATGGGTGAGGGCACTCTATCTGTGACTCCTATTCTAATAATAAACTGGCAGCCCTAAGTAGTCTTGCATGCCCTGGCCATGCCAGTTCTTTTACTTCTAATAGAATTATCATTAGCTCACTGTCACATGAACATCCATTTTTATTTGAACCATTTCACTACTCAAATTTCTTATTCATGGTACTAATTAGACTTGTACTTTATGTTTTTGATTAAGAATAAAGATGATTTGTTATTAGCAAAAGTACATATAGATAAACTGTTCTAATGCTTTGTATCACTGTAAACATGGATGTCTGTATATATTCTAGAGGGCATACAGAAGAAATGTATAAACTGAATCAATTTCAGTTTTGGTTTTCATTGCATGCAGTTTATTAATAATTAAATTCAATTATCTACATCTTTACCACACATTTGACTACATACAGGTACTGTAGGTGCAGTAAATGGTTAAATGCTACTTATTGCAATATGCTGGGCATTCAGTGATAATATTGAACATACCGTATTTGGCTGCGTTCACACTGCAGGCGAAAGCGCATTAAATCCGACTTTTTTGACCCTATGCGATCCATATCCATCATGGTCTGACAGTGTGAACGGCACAAATCCGATATTCTCAAATCCGACCTGGGTCACTTTCGTATGTGGTGCTGAATCCGATACATATCCGATGTTTTAGAAAGCGACTGCTGTTTGATGGTCATGTCGCATTAAATCCATCTTTTACGTCACCGATACAAGACAGACGCCAATTATCAGCGCCGGAGAAGACACCGTGAACGCTTACTGGACATCCAGTGAAACTGTTGGGAAGACAACGATGGAGAAACGTGAACATTTTATTTGTACTGTATAATCTGCAGATTCTGACAGAAATCTGCAGCTATCCTTTGAAGCAGCGCTGCTCTAAAACAGCAATAAGGATCATTATTAGGTTATTCACATTATTATGTAAATAACAAAATAACTTAAAGCAAAATTGGGAAACGTAAAGTCCGAAACAAGTCCTCATATTAAGGCCATCCGTACAATACTGTTGCTCTGGGTCTAAACAGAGCGCGTTGTGTGTGACGTCTTCTTTTGCGCATGCGGCCGCTTTGAGCGTTCACACTAGAGCGCGTTTGCTGTCGCATTTTATTTGTAGTGTGAACGAGCAGACAAAAAAATCGGATTTGTTCAAAAACTCAGAATCGAGCATTAAGACCTGCAGTTTGAGCGTAGCCCTAGAGGCTGGGATTAGGTAAAGATGGTCCTTGATGATCATCTATGTCCAGCTGAGGATGAATTTGTACACTCGTGTAGTTAAAATAAATGAACTTACATCAATAGTGTTGACTCTACTCTTTGCCTTGGCAGAGTAATAAAAGGAAAGATAGAAGAGACAACTATAGTTATGTGGCAACATATGGACTGATGTATTTACAATCAGCATTTTAATCATGAGCTTTAAGGCAGTAATAATAGCATTAGCCATGTTTAGCACATTACCTTCAACAGGGGGTCAGGCTGTCCACAGACACAAGGTTCAGCTCTTTATCTCACTGCAGAATCCTTTCATATTCTTCACGTATGTCTTTGTTGGGCAGAGTGTAAATACAGAGGCTGTATTTGTATAAGCACAGATACTTCTTAGCAGTGCAAAGCTATCTGCACAGCTCTGCAGAAAGATCCAGGCAGCCAGTGTGTCTCTCTCTAACCAATCAGAGTCCTCCTTACATGGGACAGTGTGGCTAACTTGCATTAGCAAATTGGAGGCGTTGAGTGCTAGAGCAGCTGGCAGCTGGAAACCTGGACCCCCTTTGGCCATTTATCAAGACTACATGAAGTATACTCTGAAGGTCTATAGAAAGATGCATTATGGAGAATCTCTACTGTGACCATCAGCAAAACCAGCCAGCCTATCTACACCACAGCAGCAGTGATGTGATCAGTGACATGCTTGGCTACGAGATGAACAGCCACAAGGAGCAGTACCCTTGACGGAGAAGGAGACTAGAGACCAAAATCAAAGCAGCATGGAGGGCAGTTAGCCAAATGTCGGAGTTGCAGACGTAGAAGGGGATGTCTAAGAAGTACAGAAAGCTGCCTATACTTGTGGCCTTGGATACTGCCAACAAAGAACCACAGCCTTGACTAGCCGCTAGAAGAGGTATACACAAGAGACAGAAGGCAGGAGAATAAACCTTCCAAGGTATATTCTCAGTGGTAGAGGAGCACTATGAGAGCAGCCCCACCAAGGCTGGAGACAGAGCAACTGGAAGAGCATATGGGAGAAGGAGACATCATATAACAACAACGCTCAGTAGCCAATGGATCTGAGAGCAGGTCACAGCAACCTCCTTGAACAGGATCCAATAACAATCACCATGGTAGACATCTGAGAAAGAGTCTCAAGTATGTAGAGTTGGACAGAGCCAGGCCCTGACACGATTCACATCTCCTGGCTAAACAAGCGCACTGCACTCTGTGAGCATCTACCAGCACAAAGGAACCAGCTGCTATTGGACAAGACACGCCTGGAATGGCGAAGTAAAGGCTGAACAGTCCTGATTGCTAAGGATCCTCAGAAAAGGCAGGTCCCATCAACTACCAGCCAATAACCTGGTAGCTCTGTGATGCCTACAGGAAACCTCCTGTCAGGCATCAAAGCTAAGATGAAAAGGCAAATGGTTCAATACATGAGCGCCTGGTAGCTGAAGGCTCTGCCTCCCATTCTACTTTTAAATAACTCGGGAATGATCAGAATCACAATCAAAGCTGGAGTACTTTATTAATCACAGAAGACATTATTGTGGGCATAGTTGCTCCAAGACAGTAAGAACAGCAACTAACTAACCTAAATTAATTAAACAAAAATATTTCCTGTTGTTCAGTGGTGCTAAACGACTGGGTCGGAGGTGTTGTCCAACATTCTGCTTATTTTGGACAATATATGTTCAGCTCCTTCTCCACAATGTCACTGGCAGACACCCATTGGTGGTTCTTAGTGTCCGAAAGGTGAGGGCATCAGCAACTGGCAGGGAGTGTGGTGAGGGGAGATGGGCTGCCACACCTGGGTTGGCCTAAGATGTTCCCAGAGAGATAGAGACCCGACCTGACACATAAACATAAACAAACAGTCACACTAAGACACAAACATGCATTCACACCCTCATGCACACATATACAAATACTCATACTGTACACACACTCACACTCCCCAAACGTACTCTATACTAAACCCAGAGGGCCAATCTGCCCCCAGACCCAGGAGATGTTTCCCTTTGGTCTGGGGTGGAGACAAGCAGACCGCGCCCGGTCCTGCAGCAGCACGGAAGCCCAGCATCCCAGACCCCCAACCGGGGTGTGAAGACCCCATACCTAAAATGCATTTTAAAAACATGGGAGGGGCATGGTACTCTCTGCCAGGAAGCAGCTGCTGTCAGCACCGGCCCTACCAAGAGCCCTCAATGTCTACATGTATTTAAAATTGAGAGGTGGGCACTGACGCCAGAGGTGACGTCCTTTGGATGCTGTTTAGCGTGCCCACCCCCAAGGCCCTTCATGTATGTGTTATGAGTGTGTAAGTAATGTGGATGTCTAAGCTGTGGAATAAAATTAAGGCACATTTGGCCAGAAGGAGACAGAGGAGGAATGCCCCCTTGCACCTCACTGACACACCTGTACCCAAGGCCCTGCATGTGTCTTGGTGTGATGAAGCGGAAAAAAGGGAGGCTCCCTACGTTTTGAAGTAAATGTCTGTACTCCTTACATTTTCAAAACAGGCTTGTTACTTTCGGTTGAACACATCTGAGAGGAGTTATTTTATGTTCCTAATCATACATCCTAATGGTGTATCAATCAGTAAGG